ATTTACCCCAACTGAATTAACCACTAAATAAGAGTTAACATGATGTGCTATGCATTTTGACAACCACTGCCAGTTGCTGCAGATTCAGCAGTATACAAATGGGAGAGAAGTGTTTTGTTCTAAAGTAGTCAAAAATCAGGAGTCTGGTAGTACCTTTCAGCCTTTGTTAAGCTTTTATTAAAAGGTATACTTTTTTGCAAAGTACATCTCACTTCATCAGATTCACTGATTGGTCAATGTACTGTATATAGGTTTTAAATTAGGACAAGGTGGGGGAATAAAGGGAGAGGAAGACAGATCCCAACTCATCTCAGTTTAAATTTTACATCAATGTAGTTGCTTCAAGCAACATAAACCAGACTCTAGATATATGGGCACTTCCAATACAGAACATCTAAATCACTTCCTAATAGTAAGTAGAGTACATGTAATTCACTCATCCAGCTAATCCAAGTGTAAATTGCAGAGCAGATCATGGATTATTGAGGTCACATATATGGGTCAAGTTTAGAAAATTAAAGAGTTGAGCCAACAAGACTTGATTTGACTTGAACCTCAAGTCAGAATGTAAAATGAATATAAGGAAGAGATTCAGAACATTCCAGTTATAATATGTAAAAGAGAATCTAAAAACCTGTGAGAAAAAATAAGCGACTGTATGAAAACCAATTTTTTTCTAATAGTATATATAGCTCAGAAAAATATGTACTGAGAAAAGAAAGGAGATAGATGGTTTCAAATTATACATTTGGATATGATTAGTAATAGTATCATAGATTACAAGATGAATCTATGAACTCTGGGCAAATAAAGACTGGCTGTTTCCTTGAGGTGATGATGAGCAAGCATGTATTTTGGACACCTGATTTAAATGTCCAAAGTGTCCATAGTCAAGAAAAATGACTATGCTTGGCAAAAGTGAGAAAAGTAGAAAAGGCAATGGATCAAGCAATGGATAGGATCACGTCCTTGGAACACTACAGATTATGGCCAAAGGCAAGTTGAGATGTCAAGCATTGGATGCTCAAGAATCAATATGTGATAGTTGCATTTCATGCTGTAATGCTGATAAGCCATCTAACCATCCATCCACCCATCCATTTACTGCACAACTACAGTATGCATCTATAGTACATTTTAAATCTCATGCAAGCTTGTGAAAGCAGTATCTGATTTCAAATAGTACTGAAGGGATCTGTGATAATCTTACATGTGAATGCACATGTATCTTTCCTTATATTCGGCATATCTGCCATGTTGGCCTAGTAAATCATTAAATGAATGTTTTTTCCATATCAAAATCTATCTTTATGTTCCTCTTTTTGATTGTCACTTTGAAATAATCCTCTGCACATATCCAAAAGGTGTCATGTGATGCCCTGGATCCATGTATATCAACCAGTGCGGTACCATGGAACATAGGATCCATTATTTTTTTTATTTATGCAGTGATCCTATTTTTGACAATGGCTCTTTAATTTCTCTGGCAAACATGTTTACATTTTTAAATCTGGGTGCATACAAACTACCATATTTTGGAGAGTGAACTATTGTTTATTGATTTCATCTGTGACAATAGATGTGTGTAAAAACCATGGGCTTATATAAAGTTACATGTCTGAGATGCAGGTTGGTTGTGCAGTGGTAGCACAATGAATCCCTGATTCGCTGAACTTTCCAGTTCAGGGAAAATATTTGGGAGAGGCATGGTTTCTATGATTCAAAAGGATTTATGCTTCAAATCCACAATTGAGTTCTGAATTGAAGAACATTTCATGTAACATTCTAATAATTCTTAAGAATATCCACCTCAGATCTTCCCATAAGATCCAACAGTAATCAGAGCAGCTGAAATTTTGAAAAAATCTATTCTATTTTGCATCACATTAGAATAAAAGTAATTAAAAGTTGTGCTTTTGTTCTTTTTGTCTATTGAGAAAGAACTGGGATTTATAGCTTCATGGTATTTCAGGCAGATATCATCTAGAGCATCCATATCCAAGGTTTGGGGAAAAGGGTGGTTGCATTATGGCAATGCCAAAAATAATCAGAACTATGATTCTGATGGCTGATTCTGTGCAGGATGTGGGCTATGTTTCTGGTAAATCTCATATAAAAAGCACAAGAATCCATGTTTAAGAGCCACATTTTGAAACTTTCAGTGTCAGATGAGATTCCAGATCATGGTTATCCCATAGGTGCTTTTTCAAAAGGCAACTGGACTTTTTTGGTTCTTGCTTGAAAACATTTCGCTTCTCATCCAAGAAGCTTCATCAGTTCTGACTGAATGGTGGAGAATAGAAGGATTTATATTCCTTGCAGTCATCTGGTCATTAACACTCTGAGAGTCTTTGAGGCCACTTGAATGTTTATGAAGGGGCAGTCCTTTCAGCAGTTCCAAGAAGGTTTCACATACATTTGCGCTATTGAGGTGACCCTGAGAGCACAGATAAACCTGCAACTGGTCTCAACAAATCTCAAAAAGAGTGCTAATGATCAGATGATTGCAAGAAATATAAACCCTTCCATTCTCTATCATTCAATCAGAACTGAAGAAGCTTCTTGGATGAGAAGTGAAATGTCCTCAAGGAAAAACAAAGAAAATCCAGTTGTCTTTTAAAAAAGCACCTTTGGGACAAATTTCAGAATTTATCAGAATAATCATGGTTCATTCTCTGCAGAAAATTATGATACGGCTTTATGTAGACGTCACCAGAAATTGTAAACTGCAGTGAAGATCAGTGGCCAGTTCCATGTTTTTCCACCACAGTAGTGCCAAAAAACCTTAGGATATATTGATTGTGATGGCAGATTGACTGCTGTGCAAATGAAATGTGGCCTGTAATTTAATAATGTTTTCATGTGTATCTTATGTAAGGACTTATACAAACAGTAAGATCTAAGAAAATCCACAATTTGCCCCACGCTGGCAGCAAAAATAATTGGATCTGTTATCTTAAAACTATGGTTATGGCATAATCTCCAAGTAAAATCAGAAGAATCTTTGAGGAACCGCACCACAGATCCCAAATAGTTAAGGTCTGGACAGCTGGACATATGTGATAAGGCAATGGCTTCTTGTGGGTCTCATGTAGAAATTATGTGAATCCATAATTTAGATCCTGCATCGTAGCAGGATGAGGAACCATTGGTTTCATGTTTTTGTTGCCTGATTCCATGCAAATAGCTGTGATCTATGATTTGAGTATGGTTTCCTGGGGATTCTTTACAAAAATCATGCAACTCAGAAAGATCCAAGTCTGAGTTCCACATGTTCTTGTCATCACTATGTCAATAATTATCACACGTGACAATACATGTGCTCAGTAATTTGGAGGTAGTTTCCTAGGGATACCCTATATAGATCATGCAAATTCACTGGAATTTTTAACTGCATCATGAACATATGTTATAGTGATGTGTTAGTACTTTTAAGGGGAATCCCGTGTATGAATCACAGGCTGGATTTCATGACGACAGCTTTTCTCCAGACTTTTGCTCTATTCTAAATTAGAGCAACTACTAGGCAATAAGAACTTGATAACCAGGGTTAAGTTATAAATTCGAGTAAAACAAAAACAGAAGAGACCTAGGACCAGAAACACGAAGAAAATCATTTAGATGAGTGAGAAAAACGTTATGGTACACCCCCCCCCCCCGCCAACCGAATAGTTTGGAAGTTACTTTCAATTGCGATCGCTGAAGGGCTTTATTCCAATGTCCCACTCGCGATTCAATTCTCTCGAAGTCAACGCTCCCACTCACCCCAAACAAACAAGAAGGTGCGATCCTGCCGGGTGTTCGCTCCCCGTGTCAGCCACAACCCCAGGAAAGAAATCGAAAGCAGCCCAAGAGCCGCCGCCGCCTCCGTTCTTCCCCATCCGCTCCCAGGCGCTGGCGCCGCAGCTGAGGATGCCCCCTCCGTGCACATGGCCAGCAGAGCGAAGAGCCTCCGCCACGGCCGCTGAGAGGATCCCGAGACTCATCTTCTTCTTCTTCTTCTGCAGCAGCACCACCGCTACAGCCGCCCTCCTTACCCATCCCCCGGGACTTGATCGCAATGAGAGGACCCTTTCGAAAAACCGTCCCAATCGCAGCTGCCTCCCCGCTCTGTCTCGGCTCCTTTCTCCCGTTACCTCGCTGGCTCCGTTTCACCCAGCCCTCTCCGATGCCCTCCACCTGCGTGGGCCGAGGACGCCTGGGCTGGTAGCCCCTCGCATCCGCGCCAACCCGCTGAAGTTCCTTCTCCTCCCACCCCCAGCTTAACTCCCCAGCGCGGTTAGGAGGAGGACAACACCGCCGGCGGCACACACACACACACACACACACACACCCCGCTTCCTCGTCACCTCCACCTCGGGTCCAACTCCAGGGTCCCCGGAGAAGCCGACAGACCGAGCAGCCGTCCTTACCTGGATGCAACATACTTTGGAAATAGAAGATGACGAGGGCGAAGGATCCCAAGCAAGTGACCAAAACCATCCGACAAATCCGATTGATCCTCATTACTTCCAGCAGCGCCTGCTTCATGGCTTTGTCCCGGCGAGAATACTGTAGGTAGGTGGCGGGGAGGAGGGAGACCCTCACCCCGCAGGCTCTTGCCCAAGAGTTGCGTGACGGAGGAGCCGAAGCGCACGAGCGCAGGGGCAGCCACAGCCTGGGCAACCGGCCGGCTTCTTTAGGGAACTGGGCTGACGCGATGCTGGCGGCGGCGGCGGCGAGAGCTCCCTCCTCCTTCCGCTGCTGCTCTGGAGGATGCCCTGGACAGCAGCTCGCAAGCGCTGCTTCATTTGGCTGGGAGCTAGTCCTAGCTTGGGGGCTACCACTCGATTCAGATTGAGGGGGGAGACCATTGAGGAAGTCTGTGTAACCTGCGGAAGGCCCGCATAACCTCTGAGAAGGTCGCCTTGGAACAGTATTCGACTCACCCTACTAGAGAATATGGTCGCGTCCGACTGTTTCCCAAGCCGTCTCGCCGCTTTCTTCGCGGTCCTAAAGTCTCCCGAGTCGCAGAGGGATGCAGTGCGCAGGCTGAGGTGGGCTCATGGTCTCGGATGGTGAAGAACATCTCCTCCTATCCCGTCTGGCCAGGTAAACCAAGATGTTTGTCTGGGGATTTTCATGCCCTCCTTTCTAAGCTTTTGTTATTTGGACTCACCTGATGATGAGTTCTGGAGGTCTGAAAATATTCCTCATTTTTCCTAGTATTTTGGAAATCATACAGGTAGGGTGACCATATTTTCTTGGGAAAATGCCTGAAGAGGGAGCAAATCTGAGGTTCATAAGCATAAAAATGTGTTTATAATTTTGCTTTAAAAGAAACATTCAAGACCACAATCAAGAAGAATGTTACAAAAACACATTCTAACAGAAAATATCTAAAATTAAGCAGTATATGTAGTCTTTAAAAAGACAATTAAATTTCTATATTTTTCTCATGAATGTGAAAAACTGTCCATTAAGTGATATCCATTTGTACAGTAAAAGTTAAATGACCCAAATAAAGGACAAAAATGTGTTTTTGAAGAATAAATAAATCTAAAGCACATAAAATAAAAGACTAACCTTTATAATAAAGGATGTATGGTTATTGTAAATATAGGTATTAGCCAACTGAGGATCTTTTTCTCTGTATATTTTTTGGTCCAGTACAAATATTTATGTAAGAATTTATTTTAAGTAGAAGGAGAGATCTCTTCAGAGAATAAAAGGATAATAGCATAGAGCATCTTTGAGATTCTTGTACTGTTACAAAAAAAAATAAAGGAAAATATGTGGAATGCATTTTAAGAAACTGTTATCACATATCAGCAGGCCAAGATATTGCATTCATTGAGGTATTAAGCAACCTAAACTGCAACAACAAAAACAGAAAAAAACATTCTCTTGCATTTAACTAATTTCAATCTGTGTTTTAATTTTTTTTTGTAGATGTTGTAAACTGCTTTGAATGCTTATATAGGTGGGATTGCTGAGTTTTATGAAATAAATAAACATTACCCTAGTTTTCAGTGGCCTTTGTTCAATTTTGGAAGCTAAACTTTAATTGATAAGAAATAAACATGATATCCAAATATCCACAAGGGAAGGAGGAGGAGTTCAGCAAAGATAGGAAATATATGAACACTGTCTGGTAAGACCTAAAATAGGGTTAACACTTTTTTTTTTTAGAAACCCATAGCCCCCACTAAAGAAGAATCTGGCAAATCTGGACATTACCTGCATGAGAGATACAACTCCAATGCCATCACCTTTGTATTGCCAATCCTTAACCTGTTTCTTTTCTAACACAGGAAAATTAAGAAGCTGGGAAATTGCCAATCTCCAGGCAAAAAAAGAACTCACAGTAACAGACTAGCTTATTATCTACAGATCTTGTCTGTATATCTTCAGATCACATTAATTCTTTTTTTGTTACTTGATGACATGACTAAAAAAATCCTTTAAAATAAGGATTTCTTTAAATAAATAAAGAGGTCCACCTTCTGCCTGTCAACAATGTACTTTGAAAATTTATTCTAAAGACACAAGACACAACATGTTTATAGCCAGACAGGAACAAACAGAATAATCATAACTTCTTGAGGCTATGATAGCACAATGGATACTTGCAAAAAAATAAATCCAGATAATTTGGCTTTTTGATATCCTAAAATCCTTAGGGAGTCTTTTGATGCTACACACCCTAATTTGTGAAAGTAATCAATGCAATGTACTGAATCAGTAGAATTTATGCATCCTCTGCAATGGACAATAGTGTACTGCTTTCAACTTCTAAAACAACCTCTGCTGCAAAGATTATAAAAGACAAAGGCAAATAGGAGAATTTCTCCTTGATGCTCATTTGAGTAGCACTAATTTATGATTAGTTCTATATGAAAAGCATATTAAGATATCAGATCTACATCTCAAGAGTGTCCAAGTGTCAAATCAGATATACACGCATTCAGAGTGATTTTTTTCTTTTCTTTTTTTTTTTGCCAGACTTTGACATAACTTATTTCTCTTTTTTATACATTTCTCTTGCTGCTTGTTCCCATTACTACATATCAGACTAAGACATTTATTATAGTTTGGTGTGATTAAAATAAAACAAGTTTAATCATGGTTTTCTGAAGGAGCCAAAGCAGCTCTTTTTATTACTATTTCAACATTGCCAACTCTAACATGCTTGCAATTAATTGAGTTTGCTTTAATAGCAAGGTACCGTATGGACTAATTCTTTCTTTGGGCCAGGAGGTTGTTTCAGTAGAAAGGCATGTTCACTGTTGTCCCCATAATTTCCTGTATTTTACTTACTGGAAATTACCATTCTCATCCCCTGGTATAAGATAAGCTTACTGAGCACCGAAGTCCCTTGTCTTGTTTTCTTTTATCTCTACTAATATCAAATTGAGAAAAATACAACCCGAGGCTATCAGGCATTAACTCATTTCATTTCACTGTTATTCAGTTTACGATGAAATCAAAATTAGTTTTCCCTGGCCCTGCTTAATTTTTTAATATGCTGTCAGCCTAGAAAAAAATGAGGTATGGACTTTTGGCCTAATGATACAAAATGTATGGCATATTATAAGTGGCAGGTTCCTGACCAGTGAAATATCTAGGATAGGCAAATGTGGTTGTTTGATGGTTTTTTAAAGGTATGTCACAGGGTGTAAGCTTTTCCAACTAAAACTGCCTTTTGTAATTGACTGATGATGATTTTGTCAATGCCAATGGTATTCAAGTAATGCTCCAGATGTTTTCAGTTTGTACTCAAGGCACCTATTACTACTACTGCTGTGTTGCTGTTGTTAGCTTCAAATCAATTCACAGCTGGGGCTGATAAAAACTTAACAGTTCAATTCCTAACCAAGGATGTAAGAGCTGTTAAGGTATTATTATTATTATTATTATTATCAATCATCGCACAGTCAGCCAGATGTTCAGACTGGATTTGGCATTTTGTCTACCTATCGAGTCCTTACCCAGGACCTGGGATAGGCAGATGTGGATGTTTGATGGTATTACAGGTATCGTCGCAGGATGGAAGCAGTTCCTAATAAGGCCGCCTTTTGCAATTGACTAATAGCGAATTTGTCAATGCCAATGGTGTTCAAGTGGTGCTCCAGTTGTTTTGGGATTGCACCCAAGGAGCCTATACTATTGGTACTACCCTTGCTTGCTTTTGCCATAGTCTTTCTATTTCTATTTGTAGGTCTTTGTATTTTGTTATCTTCTCCAGTTCTTTCTCTTCTATTCTGCTATCTCCAGGCACTGCCACGTCCACTATCCAGACTTTTTTGTCTTTCTTATCGACAATTGTTAAGTCTGGGGTGTTATGTTGCAGGTGCTTGTCTGTTTGAATTCTGAAGTCCCAGAGCAGTTTAATTTTATCATTTTCTATGACTTTCTCTATTTTATGATCCCACCAGTTTTTGCTTACAGGCAAATGATATTTTTTGCAGATCTTCCAATGCACCATTGTTGCTACTTTGTCATGCCGCTGCTTGTAATCAGTTTGTGCAATCTTCTTGCAACAGCTTACCAAGTGGTCCACTGTTTCTTCAGCTTCTTTGCATAGGCGGCACTTACTGTCTGTTGCTGTCTTCTCAATTTTGACTTTGTATGCATTTGTCCTTAAGGCTTGGTCTTGTGCAGCCAGAATTAGTCCCTCGGTCTCTTTCTTCAATTTTCCTGCTCTTAGCCATTGCCAGGTTTTATTATTATCTGCTTTCCCAGCTATTTTTTTCATGTATTGGCCATGTAGTGCTTTGTCTTCCCATGCCTCTATTCTGTTCTTCATTTGGTCTTTCTTGTAGGCCAGTTTGGTCTCTCCAGTAGTTAGTAAGCCTTCCTGATATACTAATTTCAGTGCATCTTCATCATTGTTCTTCAGATATTCTTCCAAAGCCATTTTTTCTTCTTCAACCATCTGATGTACTTGTAGCATTCCACGCCCACCTATTTGCCTTGGTATATAAAGTCTATCAATGTCATTGCGTGGATGAAGGGTGTGATTCATTGTCATCTAATCTTTTTCTTGACTTCAGTGTGCTTGATGTTGTCAGCTTGAAGGATACCCAAGTATTTGTAGTACTCTTCCTCATCCAGACTCTTAATGTTATTTTCGTGGGGCATCTTGATTCCTTCAGTTTTCACTATTTTTCCTTGTTTGATAGTAAGTGTGGCACATTTGTCCAAGCCAAACTCCATTACAATATCTTGGCTATATATACGGACAGTGTTGAGCAGCGATTCTATTTCAGATGATGTTTTTCCATACAGCTTCAGATCATCCATGTAAAGGAGGTGGGATAGTCTAGCAGATGTTTTTGATGTTTGATAACCATGTCCTGAGTTATTCAGTATTGTTGACAGAGGAAACAGTGCAATAACAAATAGTAATGGTGATAATGAATCTCCTTGAAATATTCCTCTCTTGATATTAACCTCTCCCAGCTTCTCACCATTGATCTGCAACTGTGTCTTCCATTGTGCCATCGATTTTGCACAAATTTCTGATGTTTCTACTGACTCCTGTTATTTCTAGGCACTTGATTATCCAATCATGTGGCAGAGAGTCAAATGCCTTTTTGTAGTCAATCCATGCCACATTCAGGTTGGTCTTCCTTCTCTTGCAGTTTTCCAAGATCATTTTGTCTATTAGGAGTTGATCTTTTGTTCCTCTGCTATTGGGGCGGTTTCCTTTCTGCTCAGGTGGAAAGAGATTGTTTTCAACTAGATGCTGTTGTACTGCATCAGCTACCACACCAGTTAGTAATTTGAAAGTTGTTGGTAAGCAGGTAATTGGCCTGTAGTTACCTGGTGTTGCCCCTTTTGCTGGATTTTTCATTATTAGGTAGGTTTTCCCAGTTGTTAGCCACTTTTCAATTTCTCCTCCTTGTAGTATATTGTTGAACTGCTTGGCAATGAGTGGGTGTATAACAGTTAGATGTTTCAACCAAAACCCATGCAGTTCATCTTCACCTGGTGCTGACCAATTTTTGATTTTCTTTGCTCTTTTTTCTACCATTTTTGTTGTTATTACTAGTTCTTTCATTTCAACTTCTGTTTTATTTGCATCCACCTCTTTTAACCAAGCCGCA